TATATATATATTCTTAACGAGAACAGTCGGCTTGAAAACTTAATTAATGGTGACTGGGGCACGTTAAATCTGCCCGATCACAATGTCCTCCATGTTCCCATAACAAATAATTCCTCTGGGGGTACTGAATTGGAGATTGATCATTCTCTGGTTCAGTTTAAAATTACGATCTGTGGAAGAATGAATGGATGGGTCCACCCTATAAACGGGTTTAACGTATGGGTGTGGCAGAAGTCAAATTAGTCATACATGGCGCCACATGAAAACAAGAGCATTCGAACCCCACCTGTCTTAATGGCCGGCGACAACAACATAATTTTGATACCAATAACCCCCCACTGTTCTGAAGTAAGTTCCACCATAGAAAGTCAAATGCAAAGCAGAATATGTTCTGGAGAAGCTGGTTGAACACTGCATTTACATACGTCACAGCCCGTTTTACGGGGAAGACACATCACCCATCCATCCGCACATCGTAATTTTAACCTGAACCAGAGGACGATCACTTCAGTACCTCCAGAGGTATTTATTTGTTATGGGTCACAAAGTCCTCCTTGGTTCAGGTAAAAATTACGACCTGCAGATGGATGGGTGATGTATAAATCTGCCCTCTCTGTAAAACGGGCTGTGACGCATGTATGCTGTCTCCAGCTCATTCTCAGGTCAGCTCGTAGTCAATAGCCCATAGTGCAGCTCTAGGGCGACATAAAGGAATGAAAAAAAAAGTAGAGCAGAGATCTTTCTAATTCCCTCAAAATTCACATCATGACATTGGAGTATGAAATAAAACTTTGGAGAAACTATCTTGAAAGGAACTGCTTAAAACTTTTCGGGCGAGCAGGAGCTTTCTTGTGATAATAAAATGAAACATTAAGAACTTGGCTCCGATAGAAATTAAGTATTCTTTATATTAGTGGGAGGCTCTTACAAATTCCCTTAGATTCTACAATTCGAATTCGAACTGCGAATTAATGGTGGTTTTAAAGATAATAATTTTTATTTCTGCTGATTTTATGTATTGACTAGAAAAATTAAGTTTAAAGTACGGAGAACAAAAATCTGTTAAAATTGCCGAACAGTTTTGGTAAAAAAAAAATGCACAAAAAAATAATAATACTGATTATAATTCCGTTTAATGAAACCAAAATCTATGATATTATAACCATTCTTTTGATACTTTTTCTGTTCAGGTGGTAATTTTTTTTTAAATTAGAGTTCTCACTACACCACATTTGGTAAAAAATACAAAAGTTAATTTATAGGAATGAATAATTTTCATACCATGCTTTAAGGTATCATGATAAAATCACCAAATTTAATATTCGATATTTTGTTGCCAATTTTACGAAAATCAGAGGTGAACCGGGAACCATTAAGGAAATAATGAAAATATTTTCTAAAGTCAATCTGTTTCTTTTGTGCCACAAATGGAATTCATGCCTGTTTCAGCAGAAGCGTTCTTTGCCTTCTCTTTGGAATTTTATTTCATATTTAATAACCGTCGTTGAACAGCCGACCTAATTTTCGGATTTACAACTACTAATGTTCAACTACTTAGCCTTGTCATTATGAACCCAATCCAGAAGACAAGAGAACTGCTGGATCAAGTATTGGGAGAAATTTGCCTTCGTCGAGGCTTTTTGGGTGGAACTTCTCCTTATTAGCGTTACATGGAGAGGAAATGCACGTTAGCCTCCAACGGCTTATGCGACGCCAAGGGGGTTCAATCCGTCGACCACTCCGTAGGTTATTTTATGTCATCCCTGTGGTCAGTGCAAGCCGGATACGGAATTCTTATCGAACAGTCATAGCTGGGATTCGAACCCGGTTCACCTCATTGGAAGGCGAACATTCTATTGAGAGGAAGACCGCGAGAGCCTCCCACTGTTAGCCTGGTGGCAAGTGGCCTGGTGTCTTACTTGTTGGCTCTTTTTGTTACATTTTCCGTCTGATCCACTTGGCGTTCTTTAAAAACGTGTATCTTCTGTACAATATGCGACATGAGTGTTAATCTTTTTTTGAAATATTAGTTTCCTGGTTAATAGTCTTCTGTTCCTTCAGCGGGAAGGAAAAATAGGTGTCTTTGCATTTTTAACTAGAAATATTTCTTGAAATAGGCTCCAATATTCCACATTATACTCTTTCTGAGTCGCTCAGGGGTTCGCCTTCCAATGAGGTATATCGGGTTCGAATCCCGGCGATAGATACGAATTTCACATCCGGCTTGCACCGACCACAATGCTGACGGTAAAATATCCTCAGTGGAAGACGGATCATGCCGTCAAGCTATCCGTTGGTAGTTTCCCTCTCCACGTTACTTAAAATGTGGATTACTTCCATCAAAAAGTCTTCCATGAAGACAAATTTCTCTCAATACTTGATCCCTTGTATCTTCTGGATTGAGTTCAAAATTAAAAGGCTGCGGAGTCGCAAACCCAAGAAATTGGGTCGGCTGTTCAGCGACGGTTATAAGACTATGTCTGCTAACTACGAATCGAACTCTCTTTGAAATGTAATGGTTTAAGTGAATAGCACGTTGAAATTGTAAGAAACTTTATGGTCTTACCGGCTGATTCCCATCACTGCCCTATGGGAATGGAAGGTTTGAAAAGTTAAGAAATGCAACGTTTTCACACTTTTAGAGCTAGTTTTTTTCTTTCTTTAAAGTTAAGTATCATTTGCCCAATATTCCTTACACTAAAGTTTTGTTAAGTATTATGTTCTTGTCCTTTATTCCCTACATTCATGTTTTTTAAGTTAAGTGCCACTATTCGGTACAGACCTGCCCGGTATTCTTTACATGGATCCCCCTTACCCTTTTGTACGTCGAAATTATTTTATTTAATAATGATCAAAAAATTAAATAATAAGGTACCACGTTTTATTTTATTACATATTTTAACAGGCCAATATACAAAACATTCAAAATTCTTCGAATGTGTACATATTGGTTTATTCTGATCTCTCATTCAAGAGTTTCTACTCTATTATGTGAATTCACAGCTAAATATATGATATAAATATCAGTACATCGCACTTTATTCTTTTCATCTGAAATTAATTTTCCTGTTTTTTCCCCCCGCACCAATTCTTAGTTTTTTTTTTTTTTTTTTTTTTCAGAGATTGTTTTGCAGAATGCGGTCTTGAAGGATTGTGTAAAATGTTTTATTTTCCTGTTTTTTTTTCTCTCCAGAGATTGTTTTGCACAGTGCGGTCTTCAATGATCTTGTATAAAATGTATTGAATAAAGATTGGGGTACTTCAGTCACTCATCACAAGTGCGCCATTAGATTTCCACTCATTCTGATCGGTATAGCATTTCCTCAATGCCTGCTTCTGATGTTTTGCTTAAAAATTCAGCTACTTTATAAATCTAATATTAATAAATTTTAATAAATCTAATCCATTTAAATTTTGCAGGCTAGATAGCAGAAAGTTTCTGATAACTTAGATATTTCAATCATTATTTAAAATTTAAAAAAAAAAAAAACTTTGGAAACTTGAAAACTTTCTTCTATACTCTTCCCCTCTTTTAGGAAAGGGGGAATCGAATTTTTTCTAAACAGGCAAGTGAGATGATGAATATTTTAGAACATTTTTTTAACTTTAAAAATTATATATTTTTAAATTAATTTTTTTTGTCTTGTTTTAAAAATGAAAATCGTCATTCTTGTCTGAGTATTTAGAGTTCTTAAAAAAATAAAATAACGAACCGCCATCCGGAAGACTATACTTTTTTGGTAAATTGAATGGCCAGACTTAAATGAATTAATGAATCATCATTTAACCCTCTCCTCTCAGTTAAGAAAACGCGCAAGGAAGAAAAAAATTTAAATGCAAATACTGTGCTTATTAAAATCACGTTCGTTCTTTTAATTTTATACATCAACTGATTTTAGAAAACCTGTACTCTGTTCATTCGTCAAAACGAAAAAGTTTTTAAGAATGTACCTTCTTAACACTATTTTGGATTTCACAAAACGGTGACAGTGATGTTATGAAAGTGTAGTGATTGGATAAAATATCGATTCCGTTCTTTACAGATATGATTTCAAAAAATTGTTGATTTTTTTTCTTGACGGAACGAAACATATGATGGTATAATTTGTGGACAACATCGTTTTTCACATCAGTATGTTCACTACCTAGTTAGGGTAAAAAAAATAAAAAAAATTCCTGGTATTTTACTCAACATAGAATTATAAGTAATCTGCTTATTTTAGCTCGCATGTTTGAGAGAGAGGTATGAGCAATATGCTAAAACACTAAAATAATTTTATTTTAAATTTTTTTAAAAAAAGAAGTAAAATAAAAAGTAATAAAAAATTTACTATTTGAAAAATTTTAAATTCTGAGTTCGGAGAAATAAAAAAAAAAATTTCGGTGAAAAGTTTCAGAGGTCAGCTGATATAACCGCACAAAGAAAACTCAAAATATTTCCAAAGCATATTCCACTCAAAATTTAATGCAATAAATTTGAATTTTATCCTAAAATTAAATTGCTGAAACAAATTACAGAACCAATTAAATTTTAAAAAAACATGTATAACTTGTCTATGGTAAGAACTCCCCTGTCTGAGACCGTCTGCTGTAATGGAAACAAGAATATAGCGCATTTCTAATACTAACACAATAGACCGAAGAAAAATATTACCTTTCTCTCGCCAACCCGAGCTTAAACAGTAACCCCACACCCCTACTTGAAATAGTTATACCTCGTTACCATAGTCACCGCCACGGGCCCAGACGAATGACTTGGGGAGTTCTTACTTCAGACAAACTATAAATTGTTGCGATTTTCTTACTTAAACATGGCAGGAAGTTTGTGAATTGCTTATTTTTGCTGATAAGGGAGGAAACACAAAATTACAACAAATACACTTACGTGCTATTGGAACAGCCTCTTAAGTCCATCGTAAAGAAAGAAATTGAATGAATGTACTTAGAACTGAGCTTGTCACAATAGAGAAGTAATAAATATTTTTATTTTCAGGAAAGAAAAGGTGTTTTGCTAAGAAGAAGATCTCATTAGAAGAAGAATCGAGAAGTAAGTAAACTCTTCATTCTTTTGCCCTCTCACAATGTTCAACACTCAAAACTAACTGATGCAAGAAGCCATTCCTTTTTTAGTATTTATTCTTTAATCTCCCGAAACAATTCCAATCCGAATCTGGTAATGTGGGACAGATTCTTCGCTGAGTGTGGCAGGAGAGACTCGTTACAAAAAAATAACCTCAGACTTTCCTCTACACTTGACACTAAAATTAGCTTTTAAAGAAGCACCACCCTGCAAAAAATGACCAATAGAAATCAATAAAAAAAATGTATTGATCTGTACGGGGAAATGGAACACTGATATCAGTGGAGTAGATCAGTACAATGGACTGGTCATGATATATTGATATCAGTAGAGTAGGTCAATACACTGTATTGGTCTAAATCAGTAGAATGGACTGATATCAGTAGAATGAACTGGTCTGTACGGGGAAAAGGAACATTGATATCAGTAGAATGGACTGGTCTGTACGGGGAAATGGAACACTGATATCAGTAGAATGGACTGGTCTCTACGGGGAAATGGAACACTGATTTCAGTAGAATGGACTGGTCTGTACGGGGAAATGGAACACTGATATCAGTAGAATGGACTGGTCTCTACGGGGAAATGGAACATTGATATCAGTCGAATTTACTGGTCTGTACAAGGAAATGAGACATCATGGTCCCATCAGAAAAATAGACTGGTCTAAGTTAGGGAAAACAATATTAATGAAAGCATATTAGATAGGTTTAAACAGGAAAATGCAACATTGTTTATCTTTTTTAATATGCAAGATTTAGCTGAATTGATCACCTGCTTTGTAAGCATTATAGTCAATATAGTAACAAAAGCATATAGCATATAGTAACAAAAATAAATAATTTTTTTTAAAATATTTTGTAACGGTCGTTGAACAGCCGAACCAATTTTTTACGGTTTACGACTACTAATGTTCGGCTCTATCCCCAGATAGCAAAATAAGGTTTATTTTCACTCAGCAAAAACCTTTTAATGTAAACCTAAAAAGGTTTGTTATGCGGTTTACGTGTAAACCTTCTAACCTTAAAACGAGATCTGTGACCATCTGCTCTATTCTAGTCACATTACCCTAATCCGTAACCTTGGAAAACAACCTTCTATATAAAACCCTTACATCGATGTTGACTTAGGGTTTTCAAGGGTGAAAAAAACCCTTTCATAGAGCTATTCTCAAGGTGAAAATAATCTTAAATCTAGGTCATTATAAGGTTTCTTTTCGCAACGTCTTGTAGACTCAGCTAAAATCCACCTTGTCTAGAGATTTTAATGCACAGTTTAATTTCATCCTATCGCTAGTGTGACGTCAGCTGAAACGTCACGATGTACCCAATCCAGAAGACAAGGGAACTCCTAGATAACGTATTGCGAAATATAGGTGATCCCCCTGAGCCACTGCAAATCATTCTGAAGTTATTTAACCTTTCACACGCCAGCGGAAGGTAAATGTTTTCTTTCCCGGATAATGAAAAACTATTTTATTGTAAAAACGATCTGAAGTTTAATTCAGTTACAAGTTAAGATTTTAATGCGGGATCATTTTAAATTTTACAGACACAAGTATGCACTTGTAGGTTTTAAGTTAAATACAGGACAGATATAGAGTCTAATAAAAGAACCCAAATTATATGAATTAAGGCTTCTTGTTTTTTTTTTTACAGTGAGCAACAAAAGCAGAAGTATCTGTCCGATGGTGAGGGAAAACGGTTGAAGGGAAGGAAAAAAACAAGATGGCGAAGGCTCGCTCAGCAAGGAACAGCAACAGGATGGCAGCTTTAAAAAGGGCGAGCGAAAGGCGAGCCAAATCCTGCTTTCTGGTGGTCATCTTCTTCGCTGTCTTTGCCTGCATGCTAGTCACAGAAGTGTTCTACGTTGAAGACGAACGCTGGAGAGAAGAAAAGTTCTTGTCCATGTTCAATTTCGGAGACGATATGATGGATTCAGCGCCGCCACCTTCCAACAGCAGAGTTGCCAGAGAGCTGAAATACGAGGAGAACGATACAGTGACAGTCGAACATGAAGACTTCTGGCAAAGTGTTTCCAATGCGAAAGATAAGTTTTTCGTTTACTCTGCCTACTACGATGACAGGCGAACAAAGTGGGTGAGGGTGATAGCCGCGGCCAGAACTCGTCTGGCGGACAAAGTGTTCTGCAGATTCAGCTTCAGCAAAGGAGATTCCTTAACTGTGGTGGGTATTAACAGACTCATCAGAGAGAACTGGAATCTCAAGTACAGTGCTTATTTCATCCTCTGTCCCTTAAAACAACCCCTCATACCGACCCACGTGTCTATCATCAAACAAAGTGAGACACTACTCACGGTTGGAAACAAGCTGCTCGTGAGGAATAACAAAAAACTTTACAAAAAGCCGGAAGGGGTGGCTGTGTGCATCAAACCGCTCCACTACGAATACAACAAAGTGAAGAACTTGATTGAATTCATAGAGCTCAACAGGATAATGGGCGTGAACCATTTTGTGTTGTACAATCACACAGTAGGCCCGGATGTGGAGTGTATATTGAAGAAGTATGTTACGGAAGGCGTGGTCACCGTTCTGCCATGGCAGCTGGACATTGTGTCTCAGAAAGAGATACGAACCGAGGGTCTCTTTGCGGCCCTTAATGACTGCTTGTACCGGACGATGTATCGATTCCGCTACGTCCTCATGATAGACTTGGACGAATACGTCATCCCACACAAAAACAATTCCCTCAAAGTCATGTTGGAGTACTTGCTAAGAAAGAATCCCGACAGGACAGGGGCTTTCTCCTTCCAAAACGCTTTCTTCTATCTTCAGTGGCCAGATGATTCATCTGCAGTGAGCCTACCCTACAAGCTGCTCACTTTGCAGAAGACTACCAGGAAGTCCAAGTTCCACGCCCACAAGCAGCGTTCCAAGTGCGTCATTTTACCAGAGAGGGTGGTTGAAATGGGGAACCACTTTGTGTGGGAGTTCATCACGGGGAAGACGATGATGAATATACCACCAGACGTGGGATTTTTGCACCACTACCGGGTGTGTGAATTTGGTGGTAACGACTGCATTAATACCACCCACGTGACTGATCGTCGCTCATACGCCTGGAAAGATGCGATGGTGGACATGATATCTCTACGCCTCAGACTATTGCAACCAGTATGCCAAAATATTTCCCCATTTCTCCTTGAATGAATAGCTAATGTGTCGTAGGGTTTATTTTCTAACTTAGGGATCGTTCATACTGCAAGTGATTCACGCACTTGCGGCCACCCTCCAGAGGTAACGAATCTTAGCAATGGTTTAACCAACCAAGTGCTCGTGTGAAATATTCTCAGAGGTAATGTGACCAGATTTCTGAACCATGATTTGAAGACAAATCGCTTGGGGATTCCTCAAAAAGTTTTACCACTCGAGGATACCCATATATTCATAGAAAATAATAATTTAGATGTGCAACAGAGCTCTCACTTTTTTTAAAAAAAATAATAACAATAACTAATATCAGTTGCAGAGCCATCTTCATCAAGCTTGATGTCATTATTAAGTAGTTTTGATCTATCTTTAGATGTTCTACATTTGTTCATCACTTGTAAAATGAAGGAGTTTATGATTATTAGTTTATTTTTTGCTGGAATTATTTTACAAACGAATACGAAGTTTTCATAAGTTAATTTTAGCATGGTACTTTTCTGCTTTCTGTAGTAAGATAAAATTATTTTGTTTAATAAAAGATGCGCATTTCCGAATTTTGTCATTTGATATTTCACTGCAAATTAAAAACGATGGGGTGGTTTCAGAAGATTTGAGGACGTATATAAAGGTTTGAGAACAATTACTATTCAGTAAGAGATATAAAGTTCGAGGATTGTTCCGAAGATTCAGTGACGCCTGATCTCCTAAATCAGTTGTAGATGAATCGTGGCTTAAAATGCCTCAGCTGACCCGATAGGGACCGTTCTCACTGTTTGCGATTTTTTCGCGTACGAATGAGAATGTGATTGGCGAGTTTTTTCGCGGATAAGATTCTCTAACGGAAATTTGATATAAACTAAAAAGAAAAAAAGGGTGGACACTGTTGAGTTCTTGACTAAGCTCTTAATGTTTTCAAGTTTCACCCGATGAGGATATCAATAGTATTTACGTTGAACTAGAACTGCGCGATGGGCTGTTGGCAATAGTCTCAGGACATGCCATCACAAATTTGATCCTCTGTAGAGAGGATGGCTCTTAAGTAGCATGACGGTCTGCGTACGAAGTCGATCACTTTACAGTAGAACAGTTCAATTAATACCGATACCATGCACCCTAGTTCCCGACGCAGACTGATCAAAGCGGTCACCCTACCGCTTGCTGACCGCAGCTCATGATGCTCAATTTCGATGTCTTACTGGAAACTATGTCTTTAGTGGGACCCACTTCCAAGCGAAAAATAAAACGTAATTGGCAGGTTTTGCCGGAGAATATATTTCCCCAATCAGGTTCTTATTCTTACTGGACAGCAATCTGATGTGCGTGAATCACATGCAGTGAGAATGACCTTTAAAATTTTTTTATAGTAAAGCAACATTCCTGACGTCAACAATCAACGAAGTTTAACCCTTTAAATGAGAAAAGAATTTTTTGTGTGCTACATCATAAGATTTTTATTGTGATTTAAGTTGGGTATTCATTACTTAATTGTAACATATTGTATTTTAAATACTAAACGAATTGTTAAAATAGAAAAAAAGTATTTATAGAAAAAAGCTCATGTTTCATTATTTAATTCTTTCTTTCTTTATTTTTATGCTATTAGAAGTCATTTATATATTACGCAATTGGGGGAAGAACTATTTTTGTCTGACAAAAAAAGTTGATGAGCCTTATGAATTACATTAAGGTATCTGACTACTAGTGACAACTTTTTTTTTTAAATATTGCTTGAAATTAACTTTTAAACTCATTTTTTGTTTGAGTTTAAGTGGAAACTTATAAAATTGGTTCAAAACTTTTCTGGGTATATATATTTTTTGAAAAAATTGGTAATTTTATGCATTAATAAGGCGTTTTTTGTAGATTACGGAAAAAGCTGTAAAACTTATTCTAATGCATAAAATAAAAAACCCTTCTACTATTATATTCAAAAGACATTTATCTGTGTTATGAACTATTATCTTTGCAATATTTCTATTTATTTGTATGTTATGAGCCAAAATGCTACAAAAGTACAAATTTTTCGAAAAAGTTACATTTATCACAGAAAAAAACAATCATAAAAAATGTAAATAAACAAAATTTTTTAATCCTTAGTTCCAAACATGTGTTATATATTCTTAAACACTGGTACGAAATTTTAGAGAATTATCTTAAAAACTTTTTTAGTTATCATCTTTGCGGTGGCATCAAAAACGAAAAAATCTGATTTTGAGAAAATTGCATTTAAAGAATTAAAACTAAAATTTCAAAAAATTATACTGCCAAAATCATCTAAAGCTAATTTATATTGGAAGAATAAACTTTTGTTTAGTACATATCAATAATAATTAACTTTTCAAATTACTGTAATTTTAATTTTGGAGCCATATAGTAATGGCAATCAAACAATTTTTAACGTTAAAATTTCTAATTACTGAAATATATGCATTTAACATTTTAAAATAATATACTAGATTAAATGTGTTACATTAAATGATATAATTTTTTGCAAATATGGTTTTCCTTTTAATGTTTTGTATCTTTTGAAATATATAAGTCGAATTACATAATATAAACAGCATATACAGTGGTGGCCAAAAGTGTGGACACTTTTTGAAAGTTTCATGTTTTTCAACTTTGAGTGCTTGTAGAATATATTAATTTTCACTTAAATACAAACGTTTATATACCACATTGAAGGTAATTTAATGTAGAATTTAATAATAAATACAGTATTACAATATCTGTATTACAAAAAAAAGTTATGCAATTAATAGTAAGATCTATCTTAGATTTGCATTTTTTTAAAGTGATACTTACACAATCAATACTTAGTAGGATAACCCTTAATTTTTAAGACAGCTTCAGAGCGTCTTTTCATCAAGTGAACGAGTGTTTGGAGTTCATCTTTCGTAATCACATGGTGCCAAGAATCAATTATAGCTTCACTTAGTTGTCTTTTATTGGATGGACGTTTTTTTCGTACAAGAATTTTCAAACGTCGCCACAAATTTTCAATTGGATTGAGATCAGGGCTGTTTCCTGGCCATGGTAATATATCTATGCCTTTATTTTGAAACCATGCTTTGCATACTTTTGCTGTGTGGCATGGAGCTGAATCCTGCTGAAAAATAAATGGTGCGTTGTTGGGGAAGAGATCCCTGATGGAAGGTATCAATTTTGGTTTCAGGACAGTTTCGATGTATTTTTTGGCATTCAGGATGCCAAATCAGGCCGAAAAAAATGCACAAGTGCTACTACCGATAGAAAAATTAAATGGCTATGCCTTCAAGATAGAAAAATGTCATCAGATGCCATTAGATGTGAAATGAATGCAGCTGGTATTGCAGTAAGTTCAAGAACAATAAGAAGAAGGTTATCAGGATTTGGACTACAAGCTAGAATTCCAAGGAAAAAACCATATTTAAATCAAAAGCAACGCGAAAAACGAGTTAAGTCGGCAAAAGAACACATTAAATGGTCAGAAAATCAATGGAAGCAAGTAATCTGGAGTGATGAGAGTAAAATATCGCTCTTTGGAAGTGATGGTAGAAAATACGTGAGACGTAGAGTAGGTGAAGCGCTTCATCCTGATTGCATTGAAGCAACTACTAAAAATCCAACAAATGTCATGATTTGGGCATGTATATCTGCAGATGGTGTGGGCCGAATTCAAGTGATTGATGGCATCCTGAATGCCAAAAAATACATCGAAACTGCCCTGAAACCAAAATTGATACCTTCCATCAGGGATCTCTTCTCCAACAACGCACCATTTATTTTTCAGCAGGATTCAGCTCCATGCCACACAGCAAAAGTATGCAAAGCATGGTTTCAAAATAAAGGCATAGATATATTACCATGGCCAGGAAACAGCCCTGATCTCAATCCAATTGAAAATTTGTGGCGACGTTTGAAAATTCTTGTACGAAAAAAACGTCCATCCAATAAAAGACAACTAAGTGAAGCTATAATTGATTCTTGGCACCATGTGATTACGAAAGATGAACTCCAAACACTCGTTCACTCGATGAAAAGACGCTGTGAAGCTGTCTTAAAAATTAAGGGTTATCCTACTAAGTATTGATTGTGTAAGTATCACTTTAAAAAAATGCAAATCTAAGATAGATCTTACTATTAGTTGCATAACTTTTTTTGTAATACAGATATTGTAATACTGTATTTATTATTAAATTCTACATTAAATTACCTTCAATTTGATATATAAACGCTTGTATTTAAGTGAAAATTAATATATTCTACAAGCACACAAAGTTGAAAAACATGAAACTTTCAAAAAGTGTCCACACTTTTGGCCACCACTGTATATAGCGTAATATAGACTGCAAAGACTTACGAAAAATATTTAAAATACAATCTATAGTAAATAAAAGTATAATTCATATAAATTATTCATCACATATGCTGGTTTAAAATCCACCATATGAATACGTTAAACCTTCTTCTTTTTCATATTTAGTACATTTAGTTTTTCGTACTGCTTTTCTTTTTTTTTCGAGCTAACTTCGTCAATGGTAAAGAATGTCTTATAGAGCTCGAAATAAAAAATTTTTTTATTTCGAGTTAGCAAATTTATCAAAGTTAATTATTTCTTTTGAAATAATTTCATGGAAGGAAAAATTGACATTTTTAAACACAGACAGTAAACCACTATTCCCTGAATTGAAGAGAATTACAGCTAGATAAGTACCTAAACGAAATGTTTCAAGTATCTTTAGGCAAAATGTTCCACAAAATTGTAACAAAACTTTCGTTACAATTTTGTGTCTTACCATGGAGACACTTTTGTAGTAGAGCTGTACTACACAGTTTTAAATATGTCGGTTTGATTAAATTAACAATTTTATTTGATAATCCATTTTCTTTGAGCGATTTTCCTATTGCTTTTGCTCTTTGAAAACGACACCAACTTTCAATACCTTCGGGGCATTGGCCATGATAATGATTATCCTTGCCAGACACACTATGATAAAATGCAGCTATTACACCACTTATCATGTTTTGTAGATTACCTGCATTACTTCTTACCGCAATACCGTAATAATTTTGGATTTTGTCTATCAATTTATCAGTTAATTTACCTTTGCCTCCTATACCTTTCACCTTTTTCTTCAATTTACGCAAACTTCCACCTACACGTTTTTGGACATGTCCAATACATTCTAGTTTCATTACTGAATTATCACCCTAAAAGTTTTTTACGCTGTCATACCCTTTCGAGTCTCCGTCACCGTAATATTCACTATATTGCACATTTTTTGCATTTGACCGTTCAAAGATGCGATAAACACCAACAACTTCCATATTACCAGCTGAACCTTTATAGTTTGCACAGATATGCTCTGATGACTTGTCACCTTTTGAGCATATACGGCAGTACTGTGACACGACTTCAACATCTAAAATTTTACCAGTGTCGATGGAAATAGCACTAACACATCCATTTAATGATGAGTATCCTGTGCGTTGCCATGTCCCATCGACAGATATTCCACATTTAGCAACATCTCGTGAACTTCATCTAAAGCAGATTTCATGTTAACTTCTGCAC